ATGCATATGCATAACTTTACTGATACCGATCGTACTGGTCCTGCGCGGCACCGCGTGCTGCGCAGCTATCTTATTTTTTTACAATCAAGGTTCTCCGGACAGCATGTAAATGACCCAGTTAATCGGTGCATTACTCAGGTGATCCTTAACCGGGCTCAATTTCCAGTAAAACGATCATAAGATCGGATTTTCTTGTGACATCCCCGGATTGGTGTATAAAAATCAAATGAAATGAATCAAAAACGCAGCTATGATTCATCTAAAACGTAATTTTTGTATCACCATCATTAACATTAAATATCCTCTGATAATCATCATAAGTACAAATTTGTGATACTGAACTTTTACTCCTAATGAAACAAAATACCAAAACATTTAATTCTAATAATGAACGGACATCTAAGTTTGCTGATACAGCTCTTAGAGCCATTGAAGACATTTCTGAAGAGCTTCATGATATAAGTATAAAGGTAAATTCCATTTTAATAAAGTGATAATAAGCTTTAATTTTAACTATTTTAAATGCACAGATACACGAAAATCCTGAATTGGCATACGAAGAAAAATATGCACATAAATTATTAGTTAATTATTTGCAAGAAAAAGGGTTTAAAGTAACACCGAACGCTTTTGGTTTAGAAACTGCATTTGTAGCTGAATTTCAATCTAAGGCCGGAAAAGGCCGTGTTGTTTCATTTAATTCAGAGTAAGTATCATTAACTATTTCAAAATAAGTATTATCTCTCTTAAGATTTTGTAACATCTATATATTAGGTATGATGCTTTACCAGACATTGGTCATGCTTGTGGACATAATCTCATCGCAATTAGTGGAGTAGGTGCTGCAATTGGTCTCAAAGCAGTTCTTGAGAAATTTAACATTAAAGGAACTGTAAAGTTATTTGGGACCCCTGCAGAAGGTATTAGAATTTTATTTTTTATTTATTAATTTAAAAGTGCAATATATAACAACATATTACATTTTTAAGAAAAGGGTAGCGGAAAAATCGATTTAATTAAAGCCGGTGCATATGAGGGTGTTGATATTTCACTAATGGTTCATCCAAGGTGATATTACGTTAGCATTTAATTTCTGTTATATATTTTTTTTCAATTCTTAATCACAATAATTTATGAATTTATTAGTGTGATAAATGGAGGTTTTATAAATTTTCTAGCGATCCAGACTGTAGACGTTGAATATTTTGGAAGACCTTCACATGCTTCAGGTAAAAATTTTTATTTTATTTTATTTTTTTTTTATTTTATTGTTTCTTTTTTATTTTTTTAAATTTATTAAGTATTTATCTATTGTTTAATCAATTATCAGCAATGCCCCATCTTGGTAATATGAAAATTCCGTTTTTTACTTTTTACACCTCTTGTTTGAAATGTTAATAATTAATCAATTTGTATACTAAAATAATAGGAATTAATGCATTAGATGCAATGGTATTGGCCTATAATAATATTGGATTGTTAAGGCAGCAGATTCTGCCTACAGACAGGTATAAGCCGATTATTATATTTATTTTTTTTATGGCGACTTCATACTTAATCTTGATAGTGAATATTTTTAGAATTCATGGAATAATTACTAATGGAGGAAAAGCACCTAACGGTTTGTAGTATATTTCCACCGATATTAAAATAAAATTGAAGATAATTGATCAAAAACTTCACATGTTTTTTTTTTTTTAGTAATTCCGGAATATACATCCGGTACTTTCTATATTCGTGGAAAGGCAATGGAAGATTTGAAAGCACTTCAACCACGCGTGCACAAGTGCTTTGAAGCAGCAGCAGAAGCTACTGGGACTACAGTAAAAATTATATGGTCAAAAGTAGTTTATGGTATCTTCATAAATATATTAAGTATTCATCAATTAATTAAATATAAATAATTTAATCTAATTACCAATTATAGATGTGAATATAAATGAACCTCTTGCTGCGCGCTACGAACACTACCTTTCAAAAAAATTTGATATCACATTTCCACCAAGAGATGTTCAGGCTACCATTCCTAGCGGATCCACTGATCAGGGAAATGTAACTTACTTGGTACCTGGATTTCATCCATTATATGATATTTGTACACCTGTTCCTACAGTTAATCATCAAAGAGAATTTACCTCAGAATGCAAAACAAAAACTGCTCATGAAGAAACTATAAAAGCTACGAATGGTATGACTTTAGTTGGATTAGACTTTTTGATTGATGATGAATTCGCTAATCAAGTCAATGAATCTTTTACCAAATCTAAATTATAACTCAAACTATATAACTTATTTATAAATTTTCGTTTTCTTGTCCTAACTGTTGAGAATGTTAAATAAATGTTATTAAAAACTGAGGATAATACATTGAAGCGTAAATTGAATGTGGATTATGAAAATTCAAAAAATTCATTACGATGTACAGATTTTCTAGTTTCGCGCTTCGTTTTTATAATTGAGAATTGCTTTTCAACAAATTTTAACAATAGCCGGATTTTTGAATAAATTAAAACTAGTGCCGACAAATGAAAGCCAGGAAGTCTAGAAGTAGGATTCTTTAGACAACGGAATGCATATCTTAAATAATAATTAAAAATCATCACAACTATTGAACGATTAAAAGCCTGCATTACATTCATAAAGAATTATATTTTTAGACTTGGTTTTAAACTGACGACACTCAAATAATTAGCATTGTTTGTTAACTATCATTTTTGAATCTCAGGAGATAACCAAATTTCTATAACAATATGCGTCCTTTGTATATATATGTTGTAAGTGGACATGGAATTTAAGTGGGTTCGGAATTTAGAAGCTTATATAACACCCTAATCCTAACCCTAATTAACTAGGATATTCCATTCCCACTTACAACATACATGTGTTTTATTTCCTGATCAAATTCTAATGCTAAATAATGCTACAATGAATATGATTATATATAAAATTATATTTAAAAATGTTCATTCAACTTATAACTACATCTCTGGTTTTTTTTTTTAACTACAAAATATTATCATACAACTTTTTTTCTTTAAAAAATATTAATGATTTTTGTCTAATATTTAGTAAATTATTTTAAAGATACATATTTACGATATTTATATTATACATGTTAATGTGTGTAAAAACATTAAAGAATTAATAAAAAAAACAAATTTTTAGGAAGTATTAGTCAAAAGATAGATTCAACTTGTGGTAAGCCTTAAAAAACATTACGGCCAAATGCCAATTCAATTAAATCATATAAAATGACGGCGATTACAATTAAAAGAGAACCTATACTACAAACATAAGCAATCCATATTCTAACTTTATCTGGTAATGGAAGAGCTTTAAACCGTTCCTGCAGTGTATCGAGTATTATAGAATCACTTTTTTCACTTTGACTTTTATCACTTTTTTCACTTTGACTTTTATCAGAACCTGTACGAGATTGTGAACCTTCTAATTCAACAATAATATCCTGATTAATACCATTTTCTTCTTGCACCATAATTGTGGGTATGTTTGCATATTGTAGATTATATTCAGTACTTATGTTTGTATTTTGTAGATTATATTCAATACTTGGAGGACTGAAATTAGAACGATGCACTATTGAAGGAGGCATCTGGAGACTTAATACAGGACGTGCATGATTATCTCTTTCATGTGGAACAGATTTTGAAGTTATAGGTGGAGCAGACTTTATTCTACGTCCTGGTACGTAAAGGTGATCAGCATTTGAGCTTAAACTGGTTGGTGTACTTGGCGTTGAAACATAATCATTATCTGCATGTAAGATACCGACAGCAGCTTCTGTTCCATCATTCAATCTCTCTTTAGCTATTATTTGAGTGTTTAGCCAGTTTTTGACAGTTTTAAAAAAGATTCTGCTTTATTGAGATTTGAAAATACCTTATATGATCCTGTCCACATGTGGTTAATATCTATAAAAC